CCACCTGCAGTGGCTGCAGAACAGTAAAGGTTGCTGCCCGTTTCTTCTTCTGTTATCTTCATCCCAGATGGATACCCACCAGATGTCATCCTGAGCTCTCCTTTAAAGGTGTCTCTTTGGATATATGGGGTCAGGGAACTACCTGAGTAGACAGTCTGTCCCTTATAGAAGCTCAAGTGCTGTGCTGGGAGCTCTGTTGTTCCATTCAGAGCTGCTGGGCTGGTACATTTAAGTCTGCTGCAGCAGAACTCATAACCACCTTTTTTCCCAGGTGTTCTGTCCTGGGAACATGGTGCTTTATTTGTAAGTTCCTGATGTGCTGCAGCTTTTTTTCAGAGATGCCCTGCCCAGCAAGGAGGTAGCCTAATCACAGTCTGCCAGCAGAGGCGTTGCTGAGCTGCTGTGGGCTCTGCCCAGCTGCTGTGTGAAATTCCTTGTGGTTCTGTTCACAGAGGTATAGTTAGAACTGCCTCGGTAATGGCCGTCTGCCTTGGTAATAGCAGACTGCCTTGGTAGTGGTAGACTGCCTCAATGATGGTGGACACCCTTCCCCCTACAGAGCTGTACCGTCCCGGGTCCATCTGTGCTTCCTGTGAAACTCTCAATCCAGAGCATTTCAGATTGCTAGTCTTTGTGGGGGTGGAACTTGCCGAGCCAGATCACCTGGCTCCCTGCTTCAGCCCTCTTTTTTTCAGTTTAATGGGCAGCACTGTCTCCCAGGCATTACAGGAGCCAGTTGAAATGGCTGCCCAGAGTTGTGTTTTTGTGCAGAGGTCCACTGCGCCAGCTCATACAGCTGTGCTGGAAACTCATGGTACTTTTCGGCCGGGAATCTTCTGGTCTGTGGGCAGTGAAAACTCGTTTGGAAATGTAATCATTCACCCTCTGTGTTGTTCTTGCTGGGAACTGCATTCCAGAGCTGTTCCTATTTAGCCATCTCAAAGCGCTCTTTAAAAGTCTGCCTATTGGTTTCAAGCTTCCCAATTTTTTTTTGAGATGGATAGTCACTCTATCGCTGAGGCTGAATGCAGTGGCACAATCTCTAAACATGGAAGATTTTTAGAGCAGTGGAACCATTCTGTATGATACTGTAATGGTGAATACACATCATGATCATACTTCTGTCAAAACTCATAGAATGCACAACACCAAGAGTGAACCAAAATGTGAACTATGGATTTTGGGTAATAATGATATCTCAATGTAAGTTCATTGATTATAACAAATGTACCACCTCTAGTGTGGGATGTTAGGGTAAGGAGTATTTAAAACATCTCTGCAAGTTTCATTAAATTTTACTGGGAACCAAAAACTTCTCTAAAAAAATAAAATCTATTAAAAAAAAATCCAATGTAAAATGTGTGGGATGCAGCTAAAGGAAAGCTTCAAGAAAATTTATAGCATTAAAATAAAAAGTCTCAAATCAATGATCCAAGCTTTTTACCTAAGAAACCACTGATAGTAATGTAAACCCAAAATAGGCAGAAGAAAAGAAATAAGAAGAGAAATCAGTAAAATAGAAACCCACAAAAAAAAAATGTTGCTAAAGGCTGTTTCCTTGAGAATATTAGTAACTGGCCAAACTCTAACCAGACTGACTAAGAAAAAAAAAAAGAATAGACACAGAATAGCATTACCAGGAATGAAAGAGGGGACATTATTATAGATCCCATTGACATTACAAAGTTAATAAGGGAATATTACAAACAAATCTTTGCATATTAATTTGACAACCAAGACAAAATGGACAAATTCCTTGAAAAACAGACTACCAATGTGCACTGATGAGAAAATAACCTGAATTGTCCTATATCTCATGAATAAATTGAATTCATGGTTGAGAATCTTCCAAAAAAGAAATCTTCAGGCCTAGATAGCCTTATTAGTAAATTCTACCAAACATCTAAAGAAATAAAAATAATTCTATAAAAACTTGTCTAGAAAATAGAAACAGGGACACATATCAGTATCTTATGCAAACAGGATTAAACATGCCAGTAAAACCAGACAAAGACATCAAAGAAAAAGACCAATATTCCTCCTGCACGTGTACGTAAAAAATTAGACAAAGTAAGTTTTGAGTAAACTAGGAAAAAAAAAAGCCCAAACCTCAAAGCACTTTAAATAAAGCAGTGAGAAAACTACATTTATCCAATTGTCATATTTTAAATAAGATACATACTAACAAGAAATTTTATGAGAAGCTAATAAACATTTTGAAATTTATATGTGTCCATTCAAGACTCTTAAATGCAATTTCACTAAAAGATTTTGTTTTAGTACTTGGCAAACATTTTCCAGAAACATTACTTTCTTATATACCAAAATAAAAATTTCCAGTATAAGAATTCATTTAACCAGTTATACATTCTGCACTATTGAGGTATTTCATATTCTTACTATTATTTTTTTTAGATATGTTTCAAAGCTATTTTATTTTTTTGTTTTATGAGGGCTCCTTCTACATGGCACATAGTAGACATTTAGTATTTGTTACTACTGAAGGGATAAGAACTAAACTTGGCCTTTTTGATGTTAATAATCGAGTAAATACCAGATTCAACTAGGCACTGAAACCAGTTAAGTATCTTTCAAATCTTCCACTCCCCTTTGGTTACTGCCGGGCCTGAACATTTCTCAGGATCATTGATGTAACATCCCAGAATCCTTTTTATTGATTATTACTTTTTGAGATGGAGTCTCACTCTGTCACCCAGGCTGGAGTGCAGTGGTGTGATCTTGGCTCACTGCAACCTCTGCCTCCCATGTTCAAGTGATTCTCCTGTCTCAGCCTTCCAAGTAGCTGGGATTAGAGGCACACACCAACATACCTGGCTTACTTTTTATTTTGAGTAGAGATGGGGGTTTCACCATGTTGGCCATGCTGGTATTCTGACTTCAAGTGATCTGCCTGCCTTGGCCTCCCGAAGTGCTGGGATTAGAGGCGTGAGCCACCATGCCCGGCCCTCAGAATGCTTTTTAAACTGCAAACTGTGACCTATCAGCAGGCTGTAAAGTCAACTTAGAGTTGTGATCAGCATTTTTAAGAAATAAAAATACAACAGAAATATTAATATGCATCACATTAAGAAGGATAACTATTCTATGAAACTTGTTTCAGAGATATATACACACATATACATAAAGACAGATATTATTTGTGTATTCAGAGTCTGCAAATGTCCTTACGTGTTTAAATTTTAAACATTTACTTCCATATACAATCTAAACAATCTACTAAGTGTGGTAGAGATAATTATATGCCATTTAGCACAGTCCAATACAGAAATATCCACTTGTATTTTGTGAAAATTTGGAAATAGTCATTTAAATTTTTAATCCATAAATGAGACAAATATTGAGTTTTATTTAAATACTAAATACTTTGCTTTCTGCAAATTATTCTAATATACATGTGAATTTATTAAAAATGTGAAATGCATAGAAACTTTATGCATCCTTATATGTGGCATGTATATACTGAGTAGTCATCATGTAAAATGTATTCAACAAAAAATGAGGGTTAAGTGTGGTGGTGCACGGCTGTAATGTCAGCACTTTGGTAAAGCAGAGATGGGTAGATCACTTGAGCTCAGGAATTAGAGACCAGCCTGTGCAACATGATGAAACCCTGCCTCTGCAAAAAATACAAAAACTAGCCAGGTATAGTGGCTTATGCCTGTAGTCCCAGCTAATTGGGAGGCTGAGGTGGGAAGATTGCTTGAGCCTGGGAGGAGGAGGTTGCAGTGAGTTGAGATGGCATCACTGCACTCTAGCCTGGGTAACAGAGGGTAAGCCTATTTAAACAAACAAAAAAAATTGTGTTCAAGAGTGTAAAAGCCATTTTCCAGTCTTGCCAAATAATTCATTCTTAATGGCAACTGGAAGACCTTTCCAAAATGACTATCCAATGAAGTTACTCTTCTATTTATATTAGTTCCATAATTTTCCAAACCCTCCAACATAAAATCTAACTCCTTTATATCATGCAAAACCCTATATAATCTTAACATACTGATTTTTCCAGCTTTATCTTTTGTCACTGGCACATTCAAAGATCAGGTGTATAATGCTATGCAAGATTTCTAAAATATGCCACCCTACTACAGTTTCATGTCTTTATATACAATTTCCTATCAGCTTATTATATTTAGACCCCTGTAATTTAAGTATTGAACAAAGGAAAAGCAGGCCGCAAAAGAAAGGCCTGAGAAATATGAAGAGGCCACGAGAAAGCTAAGAGATGAAATTTCATAAAAGAAAAGTTTAGGGAAGACATGAACAACAGCTGAGAGAACCAATATGACTGGCTTTTAAAAAGTGTCAAAATGATAAAAAAACTGGTCTGAAATTTTATACTTTGTAGGTTGAAAAGTGAATGGCAAGTATAAAAGTAGAGATTTGAAAGTTTGGTTAAGGAATTTTAAGGATTAGATAATAAGTAGTTAGGGACATGGGATCAAGGCAGGTTTTACTGTATTTGTTTTAAAGGATGGAAAAGGCCTGAATCTGTATAGATGCTTCAAAGAAGCAACAAGGAAAAAGAAAGGGACTGAAGATAATGGGAACATTAGGTTTAACAGAATATAATAACCAATGTGGTTAACAAATACTTCAAGGTAGCCATGCTAAAACAAGATTTTGTTATACCACCATCTAGAGCAGTTGAAAAGGATAGCATAGTAACTTTTATACAATAGGTTGATTTTAGTGTTTTTCTGCAGAATAAACAAAAGTACCTGTTACAAAACAGCAGTAAAAAAGGGGGCTGGGGAAGCGACATATGCCATTATTCCGGAAACAACTTTTACCTGGTGAGTATGACCCTAAAATTAAACGACACATGATTTATTTGAATAACAGAAAAGCCACATAGTACACAGGCTTGTCCCTACGATTATTTTCTTTTTGGCAGGAAAAATTTACAAATACATAAATTAAAAAAAACCAAGCTTGGTCACTTTAAAAATTTAGTTTAAAATTTTAAAAAGAAAACATACCCCATCTCTTACTGAAGTACTTGATTTCTTGAGTAAATACAACTCTTTTTTCTTTTGTTCAATGTAGTATCTTATGTCTTTATTAAAAGAAAGAAGGTTTTAAGATTAGCAATTTTACTTTTGGAATTAAAAAGTCATTTTTTTTGTAGTTAAATTAGATAAAGAATTTGCCATTATAGGTATCCCTTATGTTATGGTCTAAATGTTTGTCTCCTCTAAAACTCATGTTGAAACTTAATCCCCTATGATAGTACTACTGAGAGGTTGGACCTCTAAGAGGGGATTAATGGGTTAATGGATTAATGGGTTATCATGGGAGTGGACCTGATGTCTTTATAAGAGGATGAAAAGACCTGAGTAAACACACACAGCCTCTCAATCATGTGATACCCTGTACTGCCTCAGGACTCTGCAGAGTCTCCACCAGCAAAAAGGCCCTCACCAGATGCAGCCCTTTGAACTTGGACTTCTTAGTCTCCATAACTGTAAAAAACAAATTCCTTTTCTTTGTACATTACCCTTCTTTGTACATTACCCAGTTTCAGGTATTCTGTTATAAGCAAGAGGAAATAGACTCAGACACCCTTGCTATCAAAATTCCACCAGGTAAAGTCAGGAACCAAAGGACAGACATAAACACTTATAACAAATATTGTCAAAAAAAAATTATAAAATCCTTACCATCAATATGAAGAATTTTTACTCCCCATGATAAGGCATTTGATAATATACTATTTGAAGGAATAAAATCCTGTTAAAAAAAGTTTTATAGTTGTTTAAGGAAATTAAGATGACCTAAATTTAGTAAACACTTAACTATTTGAAGCTTAATGTGTCACTAAGGTGGTTATTTGTAACAGACCCTATAGAGTTACAATAGCCAGGACATCAAGATTTTCTTTTGGCTTTTCTAAAATCAATCCCACTTTATAACCACATCCTTGACAATGTAATACATAAGGCAAGTTTCAAGTTTCCAGTAATATTTTAAAAGTCTAGAAGATGGGGATATTTCTCCATGAAAAGTTAAGTTCTGTACTTTGTAAAATAAAATACATGCTGAGATTCAGGCTTTTGCCTACAAATGTGGAAAATATAGTTTCAGGAACATCTGTAATTTCCAGTTGAGTTTTTAGTAACAAAATGTACAGTGTAAATTTTTATAGTTCCTACTTACATGGTCCTTGATAGCTTTTTCAACTAATAATTTTCCTCTACTTAAACACACCTATAAAAAGATCAGAAAAATTTAAAACATAGTGCTTAACTAGAGAACAGGTTAAAAAGGTTAAAGCAGCTAAGAAAAAATTTATTTGTATTAAGTCTTAATGGCTATCAACATAAATATGTGGTCAAAAGTGATTTGAGTCTCATATTAAAAAGTTTCTTTCTCTTTGGTTTTGTAGTAAATTATATTTAACATGAGAAATAAAATAGCTAGGTTTCACTGGAATTCTTTATCTATAATTAGTTGGTTTATATTTTGTTTCCTATTAAATCAAAGATTTAAGAAAAACAATAAATCGTATATACTGTTTTTACATGTTATTTCACTTTATTTTTTTGGGGGAGGGAGATGAAGTCTCCCTCTGCCACCCAAGCTGGAGTGCAGTGGTACAATCTCAGCTCACTGCAACCTCAGCCTCCCAGGTTCAAGCGATTCTCCTGCCTCAGCCTCCCGAGTAGCTGGGACTACAGGCATGCGCCACCATGTCCAGGTAGTTTTTAATTTTTTTTTTAGTAGACACAGAGTTTCACCATGTTGGCCAAGCTGGTCTCGAACTCCTGACCTCATGATCCACCTGCCTTCGCCTCCCAAAGTGCTGCGATTATAGACATGGGCTACCACACCCAGTCATTACTTTACTTTTTAAATAAATTTAAATTTCAACTAGGAAAACTAGTTGAAATGCCATAAGGAACAATTACTTTGGAATTGATGGTGTATGGTCTCCTTGTTCCAAAAAAGCATTAACTCAGAGAATGCATGGTCCTTCCTTGGTCTCTTTGCCCTTCTTTCTTCTATGAATTATATCTCTTTTTTCAGGTAGTATCTCCTTTGTGACTCATTTCTTCCATTTTCTCCTCATTTTCCCTGATTTTCAAATGGCTTTAACAGGTAAATTGAGGAGGATATTTTAAAATAATAATTTAATTACATTTCAACCTGAAAACTGAAATAAACATTTTATCTTATCCCACCTCACACCCAGTTAAATCAATTTAATTTGTCCTTCCTTGCATATTCCAATTTATTGGCAATGGAGTGGTAGGGATGCGATTTCAGTAATTCCAGAATAGGGGCTGGCAACCTTTTTATGCAAAGGACCAAAGAGTACACATTTTAAACTTTGTTGGCCACATGGTCTCTATAGCAACTATTCAATTCTGCCTAAAACACAATAGCAACTACAAATTATACCTAAACTAACAGGTATGGCTGTGTTCCAATAAAGCATTATGGACAATGAAATCTGAATTTCATAAAATTTCTACTTGTCACAAAACATTCTTTTGATATTTTTATACAACCATTTGAAAATATAAAAACCATGTTTAACATGTAGGCTATAAAAAAAGGCAACAGACTGGATTTGGCCCATAGGCCAGTTTCCTGACCCCTGCTCTGAAAACAAAAAAGATTTCCATTTCTTAAGAATGATTTACTGTTAACTCTTTAGTCATAAATTACTCTAAAAACTATAAGCCATCCCTAAATACAAGGGTATACCTAAGAAATCAGAGTATGATTCCACAAGTACTATTAGGAAAAAACTACCTTTCTAAAAGACAGAAACCTTATTAAGGACCGAAGAGCCAAACACAATGTGGCTTTGCAAATGTTATACATAAGTAAACTCTACTCCACCTTGCTATTGAAAATCATGAGATCTTCAGCTATAACCCTTCTGAGTCTCAAAACATATTTAAAGAGACTTACTGTGTCTGGTGATTTAAATGAACTTCCATCATGGCTGGGATGAGGTGAAGTGGTTTCTGCAGTATATGCAGATTCTGGACTTGGTACAGGAGATATTCGACCCAAGGTTTGCGCAAATTTAGCTTCCTTCTTATTTGAAATAAGATAACTAATATCTTTGCTGAGAAATTCTTCAACTCGCTAGAAGAAAACAAAGTATTTTAATTTATAATTTTTTTTTTTTTTTAAAGAAACACGGTCTTACTCTGTTATCCAGGCTAGAGAGCAGTGGTGTGATCATAGCTCACTGCAGCCTCAACCCCCTGTTCTCAAGCAATCCTCCCACCTCAGCCTTCCGAGTAGCTGGGACTATAGGCACATGCCACCAAGGTATTTTTAACTAGGTCATAAAAGCCATAAACTATTTCATATGCCAAGCACAGTACAAAATTCCAATTTGAAGCAGTCTATTGTTTTGTAAATTGGTGGTTTTTAATACTGTATTTTTCTGAACCTAGAATTCTTAGGAAGTATAATATGAGCTCCTATAACAGTACAGCAGCACCATGTACTAGGATACTACTCTTAAATACTTTACATGTGCTAATTAACTTAATTTATGGAACAGCCTCATACTATCTACATTTTCTGCAGGAGAAAAAAAAAGGTGACTTGCTTAATGTTATCTCAATAGCAAATAATGTAATTTGAACACAGGCATTCTAACTCAAGCCCGTGATCTAAAGCAGCAGTGTCCAGTACAACTTACCTAAGCACTTGAAACAACCTGGGGAGTGTAATTAAGGCACTGAATATTTGGTTTCTTAAGAGATAGGGTCTTGTCATGTTGCCCAGGTTGGCCTTGAACTCCTGAGATTAAAAGAGCCTCCTGCCTCAGCCTCCCAAGTACCTGATAGTACAGGCACATACTACGGTGCCTACCTCAAATCACCGAATTTTAAATTTTATTTCATTTTAAAGACTTTAAGTAGCCACATGTCACTGATGGCTACCATAGCAGACAGTATGAGCCTGATTATTAAGTTATTACAACTTCCCTTGCGGCTTCAACTTACAGGATGGAGGGAACCTTTACCCTTAAAGAGTATAAGATTGTTTGAAAAGAATGACTTCAATAAAGTGTCTGAAAACCACTGCCTAAATATCTGAATTTACTTTTAAACACATGTACCAAAGTGAAGGTTACTGAAGATCGCCAGAGTCAGGAAAATAAAAATAGGTAGAAGTAAATAGTAGAATACTAGTATTATTAGAAAAATATATAGTATGTTATACAAAAACCCATTAAGCAGAAGTAAATTGCTAATCATTAATAAGCAGTAACAATTTACATCCATGAAAGACTTGGTAAAATATTGTAAGTAGCTGTATCTAATTCCTACAGGATCTCACGCTCTAAATGAGGACAATAAAAATGAAGTCAAGTGTTTAACAGATAAGATAACTTCATCTAAGCATTAAGCAGAATTTGCTACTGGGACCAATGGACTCCTTGGTTAGGTGCAAATAATTTGTTTTCTGATCAACATTCATTTTCATTGACCTGTAAATAATGTACCTACATTTATTTATTCCAGGGATTACAGACAGAAATACCTACAAGAGCCAGGCAATAATATAAATGAACAATTCACACATCAAATACTGCCTTCAGTTTCATAAATACGAGGTCCTAGCAATGTCAGAGGTTCTAATTTTTCATAAGAAACCCAATCTCTGTGACAAATATAAAATTTACCATTTTAACCAGTTTTAAGTGTACAATTTAGCAGCAATAAGTACATTCCCATTATGCAACCATCACTACTAAAACATTTACATAACTTTTCCATCATCCCAAACTGAAAGTCTGTACCCATTAAACAATAACTCCTCATTCCTCATTTTTTCCCAGCCCCTCATAACTTTTATTCTACTTTCCATTTCTGAATTTGGCTATTCTAGGTAACTAATATAATGGAATCCTACATTTGTCCTTTTGTAACTGGCTTCCTTCACTTAGCACAATGTTTTTTGTGGTTCACCCATGTTGTAGCATGTGTTAGAATTTCACTCCTTTTTAAAGCTGAATAATATTCCATAGTATGTATATACTACCTTTTCTTTATCTACTGTTGGACATTTGGGCTGTTCCCACCTTTTGGCTATTGTGAATAAATATCTTGGAGACCCTACTTTCAATTCTTTTGGATGTACAGTCAGAAATGGAATTGCAGGATCACATAGTAATTCAAATTTTTACTTTTTTTCAGAAACCACCCATATATTTTATATGGTGGCTATATCATTTTACACTACCACTCAGAGTACAAAAGGGTTCTACTTCTTCAAATCCTTGTCAACACTTGTTGTTTTCTGGTTAACAGTAACCATGCTAACAGGTGTTAAGTAGTTACTGACTGACATTTCCCTAATGATCAGTGATGCTGAACATTTTTCATGTGCTTATCTGCCATTAGTATATCTTCCTTGAGTAAATGTCTTTTTAGGTCCTTGGCCTATTTTTAAATTGGGCCATTTGTCCTTTTGTTCTTGGGTCACAGAAGTTCTTTATACAGGTATTCTGGATATTAATCCCTTAGCAGATGTATGATTTACAAAGATTTCCTGCAATTCTTTGGGTCTTTATAATCTCTCAAAAATGTCCTTTGAGGCACAAAAGTTCTTAATCCTGATAAAGTCCAATTTTATGCTTTTCATTTGTTACACATGATTTTGGTATCATATCCAAGAAATCACTGCTAAATCCAACGTCATGAAGACTTCTCCCTGTATTTTCCACTAAGAGTTTTAGTTCTTACAAATAAATCTCAGATCCATTTTGAGCTCATTTATACATGTGACAATAAAGGTCCAACTTTACTCTTCTGTATGTGAATATCCAGTTTTCCCAGCACTAGCTGTTGAAAAGATCATCTTTTCCCCAATGAATGGTCTTGGCACCCTTCTTTAAAAATCAATTAGCCAAATATGCAAGGGTCTATTTCTGGGTTTTCTGTTCTATTCCCATTGGTCTGTATGTCTGTTCTTATGTTAGTACCACTTTTTCCTTTGGTTTTTTCATTTTCTACAGTTAAAACTCCTAGTACCAAATAAAACACCCTTTGCAATCTAGCCCTAATATAATTTTGTTTGCTGCCATTTCTCTCATTCACATCCTAAGCTCAAATCCCATTGCAACATTAGCAGCTGTACAAACCACACTGACATGTATTTTAAGTATGCTTTCCTCTATTTAGTATGTCCATTTTGACTTGCAAACTAGGACTTCAAGATCCAGCTCAAACTTTATCTCTGTTGATTCCTAACAGCAGTTAATCATTCCTATCACTGTGTTCTAATAGCAATTTCTACATATTTCTGTGAAAGCACTGACAACACTCTAACATAAAATATGTAGCTGTCTGAGTTTCCCACTAGACTAAGTATACCTAAAGGGCTATATTTTACTTATTTTTGTATCTCCAGGATCTAAAATAGTGCTGAAACACTGGAGACACTGGTGGAGTACGTTCTGAATGAATTCTTACATGCCCAAATCTTCATCATTCTTCAAAGCCGTGTTCCAATTGTGTCTGAACAAAATCCACAATTCCTCAGCTCGAACTAATCTCTCCTTCCTCCTGAAGCTCTATGTTGTATTACTAATACAATTACTTGTACCAATGTCATCTCTACCTAGATTAGAACATGAAGATAGGATGGACATAAGGATACATTTTTAATTTTATTTTTGAGACAGAGTTGCCGCTCACTGCAACCTCTGCTTCTCAGGTTCAAGAGATTCTCCTGCCTCAGCTTCCCAAGTAGCTGAGATTATAGGTATGCGCCACCCAGCTAAATTTTTGTATTTTTAGTAGTGATAAGGTTTCACCGTGTTGGCTGGGTTGATCTCAAACTCCTGACCTCAACTGATCTGCCTGCCTCAGCCTCTCAAAGCGCTAGGATCACAGGTGTGAGCAACTGTGACCCACTGGATTCAGTTTTGAATCTACCAAAACAGAGTGCACTGTACACCATACTCAAACATTTGTTGAATAAGTTTTACCAGTGTCTTCAATTTATCAGATATTGTTGAATCTATACCTTTTTAAGAGTAAACTCAAAATGTATTTTCTGATGACATCAAACCTTTTACTGTTCAAGCTAATAACGCCAAGGTATCGCCCTACATTTCTGTTCCTCTCTAATTACCTTATTTTAGCCAAAACTATTTAGACATGATCCTAACAGTGGTTGATCCCAAGTCCTTAGATGGTTTTGTACTTTTCTTGCACTATTAAAAGATATTTCCCATTATATCAAAATCCATTGCTCTGTTCTCAGTGGTTAAATTTGTCAGAAGCATACATGGCAGATAAATGGTATATTAAGATGTTTTCACCGAGACTATAGAAACCAAAGTGTATGACGTGATGAATTAAAAAGACACCAAAAGTAATGATGTGAAGAAAGATAAATCAGTTCATGTAGGAGATCTATTGGCAAAATCTTTTTTAGTGACAGAAGTAGTAAATGTGCTGAAGACAGAAACCAGGACCTGAGGATTAAATATTAGTTATAGAAAAGACAGTATGGGAACATCAGAATTCAAAAAAGAAAACATTTTTTAGAGTAAAGTTAATAAATCAAATGCAGCTGAATATCCACAGTTTGGATTTTTGGGTTACTTTAGTACTTCAGTTACTTCACCGGTTTACTTCTGTCATTTCAGGGTAAAGACTAAGTATGTAAAACCAAAAGGTCCCTCAACTATTACGTATGGCAAAAGCAATCCAAAATTTGTTTCTTCCAAGTACCACAAGAACTGTGGAGATAGGAGAAAGAAGGGGGCAGGGCAAGTAGTTCTTGCTTTAGCCTCTGTACCGCTGTTTTAGCCCAAGGAGTTCCCTTTTTACAGGCTTTACACTTTGGATTTCTGAATATTATTTTGCCCAAAGTGTTCTACTGATAAAAATACAAATCTAAATATCACTGATTTAGACCATTAGACCCAGAGTTAATGGGTTGTTCATCATGTTTGAGAAAGTTGTTGTAAACTAACAGATAGCTACTTTTTTTTTTTTTTTTGAGATGGAGTCTCACTCTGTTGCCCAGGCTGGAGTACAGTGGCACAATCTCGGCTCACTGCAACCTCTGCCTCCCAGGTTCAAGTGATTCTCCTGCCTCAGCCTCTTACAGGCGCATGCCACCACGCCCAGGTAATTATTGTATTTTTAGTAGTGACAGGATTTCACTATGTTGATTAGGCTTCGAACTCCTGACCTCGTGATCTGCCTGCTTCAGCCTCCCAAAGTGCTGGGACTACAGGCTTGAGCTACCACACTTGGCCAGATAGCTGTTTTGCTTTGTTTTGTTTGAGACAGGGTCTCACTCTGTCACCCAGGCTGGAATGCAGTGGCACGACCTTGGCTCACTACACTCTGCCTCCCGGGTTCAAATGATTCTCATGCCTTGGACTCCCAAGTAGCTGGGACTACAGGCGTGTGCCACCATACCTGGCTAATTCTTGCACTTTTTAGTAGACATGGAGTTTTGCCATGTTGCCCAGGCTGGTCTGGAACTCCTGGCCTCAAACAATCCACCTGCCTTGGCTCCCTAAAGAGCTAGGATTATAGGTGTAAATTACCAGCCAGATAGCTGTTTTGTAGCCACTGGATGCTAGAGGAACAGAATGGTGCAGGCAGTACGTTGCTGTGGAAATTAAGAGGCTAATACCGCTCTAATTGGGCCAGCCATTTAATTTCTCTGGACCTCAAGTACTTTGTTTCTAAAATTAAGGGGTCTTTTTTACTCAACATCAAGGTCCTTAACACATTAAGATACTCTTTCTTAATAGGTGTATAGTCAATATAGTGGCAGGCCTAGAAGACATGGCCTTTAAGAATGTTGTCATATGGTCACTATGATAAATACTATTATAAGCATGTGACAGTGTTTAACAAAATGAATAGTAAAAAAGTAGAATAACTTTTCAGAGACAGGTAAATAAAATACCGTATTAACAAATAGACCCAGGAAACTTGTTAGCACATGTTCTTCTGAAAAGTTTCCAGTCTGGGAATTGGATGGGCCCGGTGGCTCATGCCTATAATCCCAGCACATTAGAAGGCTGAGGTGGGCACTTGAGGTCAGAAGTTTGAGACCAGCCTAGGCAACATGGTAAAACCCTGGCTCTACTAAAATACAACAATTACCTAGGCATGGTGGTACATGTCTGTAATCCTAGCTACTCTGGAGGTGGAGGCTGAGGCACTAGGATCACTTGAACCTGGGAGACAGGTTGCAGTGAGCCAAGATTGCACCACTGCACTCCAGCCTGGGCCACAGAATGAGATTGTCTCAAAATAAAAATAAAATGAAAAATTACTAGTCTGGGAATGAAAGGGATCAGTTTAGACATTCAAAGATGCAGACCTTCAGAAAGTCAAAGTCCAGCATGAACCTTTTAAACAGGAAAAATCTTACTTACCTCATTTGCTAAAATTCAGCCAATATTAACCTTAATCCTATTAAGGTCCTGGATTTTGCCTGAATTTTCTAATTTCCCAATCATCTAATCAGTGTATAAGGTAGGAAAAAAGGTATTCCAGATTCTTAATCCAAATTTCTATTCCTTTAACAACATCCCTTCTGTTGAATCACCATGTGTATCACTCAAGAACAATTTTAACTCTGTGTGGTTTCCATGGGCTGTGTTCTGTAATAATATTCCCAACTGTTACACTAGTCCAGACAAACTTATGTAGCTCCCCAAGATTCACAATCAACAAATTGCTGCTATCTCGAGGACATGCCAACATTACAGCGAGCAGTCAATGAGCAGTTCCACTAGGACAAGGGAGTCTTATTCCTTAGCTCTGGGAACTTTATACTACTAGACTGCTAATCAGAGAAACCTGAAAGTTTTGTCAGGCCACAAAAGGTGAAAGCAAATGGTTTTTCATTAATGATAAACAGCTGATACAAATGTTAAACTTGGTGCCAATAGAAGGTTTAAGTTTTCCAAAATGGAAAATTAAAATGATTACATAGTAGAAAGTACTAGTTACAATTTTCCTTCTATGCCAGTGTGTGATTTTCACTTACCCCTCCCAGATCCTTAATGTCCTTTTGTAGTTTTTCAGATATGGTGACAGAAGGTAAGTCAAGGTAAAATACTTTTCCCCAAAGTGGTTTATATTTGGATTTTTCTGGTCTGTTATCAGTTTTCAGATATTTCAAAGATGGTCTGTTTTTTTCATTTTTGATTTGGATTCCACCTGCTATTGAAGATGTTGAGAATCAAATGTTTTACACAGACAACACTTTTACCATTTAAAAAATATTTCATTATACAATAATATTACAGAAAAAAATCGTTACAATCCTACCAATTTTAAGTCATTAGCATTTAAATATATTTCTTTGTAGTTCCACTTAGGATAGAGGCAAAATACTCCATATACTTTCACAGACTGTATATTGTTAAATAAGTTGACTCAGCAAGAAATATTCGTATGTTTATTCCTGAAGCACAGAACTATATAAAACTCTTTTTAAAGATTTTCTTCTTTAAGATGCAAACTTCACAGGGGTATTTAATACTCAACTATTTATTGAGCATCTGCCATTCTGCTGAACATTTAAAACTGGTGCTTAAACTTCATTTAGCAATGCGAGAAACCTGTTACCCAGAATAACCTGGTCTTCAAGGGTTTCGGACTGCTCAAGTTTTAGTTTCATGTGAAGTTTGTCTACATATTAGCTACTAAACGGGCCATGTGACATACAATGTGTCTATGTATTAAGAACTTAGCGGTCCATCATGAAGAACTAAATCATTCATTTCATTATTTTCATTAAAACTGATCTGTGATCCAATCAACAGCTTTATAAATTTTCAAAACGCAATCTGTTCTTAAATTGGTAGTTACTATACACACACAAACACCTGTTCAAAAAACTCAGGCGCTGGAATGTTTCACTAAATAAAGTAATTGAAAATGGAAATTTGCCTTTGTTTCCTTGTTTGTAATGTTGAAACCAGCAACGAGGCGTCTACAATACAAATACTTTCCCGCAACTTTATGAGTAAAGGAAAACAAACTTTTAAGAGTGAGACCAAAAATCCACTCACAATCACCCAATCTAATCCTGAAGCGAAAAGCCAAAAGCGCGTCTGACTTTAAATTGAGAATGCAGTCCGTCGCCCCCAAGGGCCCGGGCGGAGGCGCAGCATCTGCGGGAACCGGAGGAGACAGCGCCGCAGCCCTGGCGAGGTCCCAGATCTGCACATTGTTTGCTAGTTTTCAACCCAAGGCACGACTGGAAATAAACCTGAGACCGCCGCTGTAAAGGGCAGAGCGCGTGAGGGGCCGGGCCGGGATCCGTTCCTTCTCCGGCAAAACACTGATCCGAGACCCTTCCTTCAGACCCCAGAGGACGGTCAGTAAAAAAAGCTGAGGACCTGGCGGGAGAACTCTGAAGAATCAATGGTGGAACCACGAGGGGAGGAAAGGATTAAAGGGACTGCAGGCAGAGGAGGGGCTTCTTACCCTGGAAATGTCCTTTACTGTGGATCCTCATGGCTCCGGAGTTCATGGCAGCCGCCCTGCACCTACATGCTGGGTCCGGAGAAAGTGTGGCGCCGGGCGACCGCAAAAGCACGGCTTCCCCAGCCAGGCCAGTTGACAGAACGGCCGCCTCTCTTCTTCCGCCACCTCCGGCCTCCACGCAGTAGAGGTACCACGTCTACTGGTCGGGTTTCCAGGGCCGGATCTGGCTCCAAAGCGCAGAGGAGGAAGGCGCAAAGCACAAACGGGTGGGCTGCGGCGGTTGAAGATTTGAAAACGCGTCACGCGGCCGCGGCGCCTATACGCCCGCCCCGCCCCGTCTCACGCCGCGCGTCGTGCTCCGCCTCGCGCTCGCCCCGTGTGCCCGCCTTCTCGCATCGCGCGCCCCGCCCCCTCACGGCACTGTCTTCTCTTGTCTCGCTCCGCCCCCGCAGGATGTGTCTCCGCCTTTGCCCCGCCCCCATCCGGTGCCCTCTGACTCAGACGCCGGCTCTCAGTCCGCCGGTTCGGGTTGCGGCGCATCTACGGAGAGTAGGCAGGGCTCTGTGTTGGCCAAACCTAGTGGCAATTAGCGCCGGAGGCCGGCCCCACCCGTCACCACGGTTATTCCCGCCTTCTAGGTTTGCCGGCCCTCCAGCTGCCTTCTTCCCCAGGTATGCTAATTTTTCACGGGTCGGACGTCGGGGAGGCAGAAGGTGAGGGGCTTTGGCAGAGCCCGGACTCAGCTCCGCCGCGGCCGCAGCCCCTGCTCAGCGCGCCCGGGGTCGCACAGCGAGCGGGATTTTCCCGCGGTCACTGCCGACTCCGCCGACTGAGGACAGGCTGCGGAGTGACTTGCGGGAGTGAGAGCGGCCCCCAACCCTGACAGCAGCGCCGCCCCAGGACGCGTCTAGGTCACTTTGTGCCCTTTGGTACGTGGCTATTTGCGCTGCTCTGTTGACTTTTATTGTATCCAGACCCGTTTTCGTTTAGTTGTAAGTTTATTTCAACAATAATCGAGTAGAAAGTGAAATCTCGTTTTTTATCTGTAAAACAGAGATTAAAGATCAAATGAAAATGCTTGTGAATATATTTTAATTTTATACGTTGGAAAATGCCTCGCCAAAAAAGAAAAAAATTGTTTCTTCAGGAGGAAAAGGATATTTTCTACTATTTTGCATTTCTCTACTCCAGGTCATAATATGCACTCATGTAATGGTTGATTTCTTTACCTAGTAGCTCAGGGAAATCAGACAGTGTCAACGTTACCATTTTGCAAGTAGGTACCTCAAAGAATAGACAAGGGTGAATTGTGACAAAGTTAGCTGGAGAACGCAGAGAACAGGTTTGCTAAGGGAAATGAGAGTCTGGTTTTAGATAGGTTTATGTTGAAGGGCCTGGGCCGACAATCATGGAACTATGTTTATGAGACAGTTAAAGATGTTTATGACTAGAGAGAAATGTCTAGGAGAAGTGGACATGGGAAGGGAAAGTGGAGATTGATTTGATATCTCTCAAATAAAATATTTCTACTTCTCAGGGTCTGTTGATGTCAATCATGGGGCAATTCCTAAGAAGTTAACAGATCTTGAGTGGTGGAAGGAAGTGTAGTTTGAATAAACATATTCAATATTGTAATTTCTATGGGAAAAAGAACATATTTTCAAAATGAAAGCTACAGAGAGAGCACAAAATGTTTATATTTACAGAAAGATTTAAAAAGTTGGGAAGCACTAGTGTAGAATGTAGTTAAAGCCTTGGGAGGAAATGAATTTGCCAAGGAGAGCATGTGAAATAAGATTATAAGCAGTGGTTGATAAAATAGTGTAAGAGATGGAGAAAATGCCACAGAATTGGGAAGAGACTGCAAACATTGGAATCATATGGGCTTCACTAACTACTTGGCCTCTGGGTAATTTTGACCCTCAATTTTAATTTGTTACAAAGGGGTGATACTTCTCAGGGATGTTGTGAGGATTAAATGGACATTTTTCAGTACAGTGCCTGGCACAGAGAAGAGTTCCGTAATTACTATCATTCTATTGAACTCTGTATTGAACTCATCCCCAGGGCAGATAAGGCTAAGACTTGAAAAATAAGTATTTGATTTTGGTGTTTTAGGTATCATTGGTTTCCTTAAGGGTAATTTGAGTAGGTGGCAGACATAAGTACAGTACTAGATAAAAATGATAAGCTTGACGTTCAGACAGATTGGGTGTACTTTTTCAAAAAAAAATTTGTTACTGTAGGAAAGTATGATGAAGAGAAGACTGGCTCTTTGGAAGGTTTAGAGGATGTGGGAAAGATTTAAGCATGTTTCTATTAAGGAAATTTTTTTTTTTAACCAAGAAAGTCCATTTTATTTTCCAGTGAAATTTGAGTTATGTGTCTTATTTACTGTGACCGTGACGTGACAAGCAAGGACAGTAAGATAGTGGCACCCTATGCGGTTAGACTCACCCTCGACTGCCCTGAAGATAGTAATTCCAAGCAATAAATAAGCAGGAAGTCTGCTTTACTCGACAGTTAGTAATTGTCTAATCTATCATCCGAGATTAGTTTTTAAAAATATTATCGGAACCTATCTTTTAGTAGCCACAGAAAGGACTTGGTTATATAGCTACAGTCAGTAAGGATAGAAGAAACCTCTTATATTGTCCAATAGTCAGGTTTGTTGGTAAGAGAATGAGGTTTGTCTTAAAGATCTTGAAAATGTGCTTGAAAATAGTGCTTCAGATGAAGGGTAGACTTTCAATAAGTAAACGGGGGCAGGGTTATTTATGGTGAGAAACTTATTTAAGAGTTGTATTATGTAAAATGGAGAACACTGAGCAGAATCATGGTCTAATTAAATGAATATGTGGCTGTGAATCAAGAGATTTTTATTGTATTTATTACTCGCCCTAACCTTAACTGGTTTTATGACCTTGGGCAAATGTTAACCTTTCTGGCCTGGTGTGGTGGCTCATGCCTGTAATTCCAGTACTTTGGGAGGCTGGGGTGGGTGGATCACGAGGTCAGGAGTTCAAGAGCAGTCTGGCCAACATGGTGAAACCCCAGCTGTACTAAAAATACAGAAATTAGCCAGGCATGGTGGCATGCCAGCTACTCAGGAGGCTGAGCCAGGAGAATCGCTTGAACCCAGGAGGCAGAGGTTGCAGTGAGCTGACATTGTGACATTGCACTCTAGCCTGGGCAACAAAAGCAAGACTTCGCCAAAAAAAAAAAAAAAAAAAGTTAACCTTTCTATGCTAGAATTTCCTTATCTATAAATGAAGATAAGACTGATCAGTCTACTCCACAACTTTTTGTGATTATCAGACTAGACCTAATCTGATCTTTCAGATTACCTCACACATATCCAAATATAAATTTTTTATTCTAGAATCTAGACAAATTAAGTTTGTAATACTTATCATTTTGTTTTGCCTTTCTTTTGTCTAAGCCTCTTCACCTGGCGAGGCAATTATTTTTTCCTGTCTATAGCAAACCTAGCTTAGATTCAGCCTTTATCTCCTGCTCATTTCTGTCTTGAATAATAATCATTCCTGTTTGATTCATTTGCCAGCTATATATGTTGTCTTCTGAAATGTGTTCTGTTTCTATTTTTATTATTTAATTTTCACATTTCATTGTCTCACTATCCTGGTGAATTGAAGGGCCTAAGGTTGTGTATAAGGTTAAATTCTTTGTTTTGGAGGCTAAGTATATGAAAGGATAGGATTGGTTAGTGGCTGTAGCACTCAAGTTAGTGTCTCAGGTGAATGTGGGCTGGGAAACAAAGGTAAATTCAGTATTATCAAGCCCTTCAACACTTCCTAAGTGAAGGATCAAAATTGGAGATTCTGGGCAAGGTGACTCACACCTGTAATACCAGCACTTTTGGAGGCTGTGGTGGGAGGATCACTTGATCCCAGGAGTTTGAGACCAACCTGGGCAACATAGGGAGACCCTGTCTCTACAGAAAATGAAAAAATTAGCCAGTAAGGGTGGTGCACACCACTGGTCCCAGCTACTTGGAAGGCCAAGGTGGGAAGATCACTTGAGCCCAGGAGTCTAGCAGTGAGCTATGATTGACCACTGTAGATCAGAGAGACCTTGTTGCCAAAAAAAAGGGGGGGGGCGGGGCAAGACAGGAGGATTCAAAATTTGGGAATACTGGGAGTGGATGCTCTGAAACAATGTAATACAGAGACTACAATAGATAATGAACTAGTTTAGAGGTTATGTCTTACATACTGAATTAAATTGTAGATTCCTTTAGGGTGGTATGACACACATATTTGGCCATGGCTGTAAAATAATCTACCTACCTGCCCCATTTCCTGCTTTCCTTCTGTGTTGATTGAGCACTAACAATGCGCTATGCCCAGTGAAGCTTGTTTACTTTTATACCCATAAAAGCCTTATGGTATAAAATTTAAAGATTTTCAAACATTTATAATCCACATGCAATAAAGCACAGCCATTTTAAACATTATATATCTTAATATGAATTGATGAATTCTAACAATTATGTATATCCATGTAATTAACACTAAAATGAAATGACAAAACATTTTGTCATCTGAGAAGAATGCTTAATTCTTTCCAGTCTTCCTCCTCCCACCAGATGTAATCAGTATTCTGATTTTTATTATCATAGAATGGTTAATGGTTTCCCCTGTATTTCGGCATAGTATAAATGGAATCATATAATCTGTACATTTGGGGTTATAATTACTTTTCATATCTTTTTATGATTTATGTTGTTACATGTATCAGTAGTTCATTCTTTTTTATTGCTGAGTAGTGTTTCATTGTGGGAATATACCACAGTTTATCCATTCGCCTGTTAATGGATATTTTGATTATTTCTGTTTTTCTGGCTGTTATGGGTAATGCTGCTGTGAACATTCATATCCAAGGCTTTTTTGGACCTGTATTTTTACTTCTTCCAGAATTGCTGTATCATATGGTAACATAATATTTAACAGTATGAGAAATTATTGAAGTTCTTGATTCTCCTTTCAGTAATGTATGAAGCACAGTGTTGTTATTTACTGGGTGTGAACTGGGATCTCATATAGTTTCAGTTTTTAAAATTCAGGTAAAATTCATATAAAATTTGCCATTGTAACCATTTTGAAGTGTAGCATTCAGTGGCTTCCAGTATATTAACAAAGTTGTGCAACCATCACCACTGTCTAATTCCAGAACATCTTCAACACAAGAAAAAGAAACCTCTTACCCACCAACTACTCATTCTCATTTCTCCTCTCTCCTCAGCCCCTGGTAACCACTGTTCTGCTTTGTCCCTATGCATTTGCCTATTCTGAACATTTAATAGAAATATAATAGAATGTGCATTTTTTGTGTATGGCTTTTATTGAGCCTAATGTTTTCAAGGCTCATCCATTGTTTAGCATGTATCAGGTCTTCATTCATTTTTTGCAGATGAATAAAATTCTCTTGTAGGGATATACCACATTTTGTTTATCCTTTCATCAGTTGAGAAACAGCTGGTTTCTTTTTATTTTTTAGCTATTAATAATAATGCTCTGAACATATGTGTACAAGTAAGTGTTAGACTATTATGTTTTCAGTTCTCTGGGATGTATACCTAGGATTATTGTTGAGAATTTCTGTGTTTAACATTTGATAATTCTGTGTTTAATGTTTTGAGGACTGCCAA